CGCACCTGTCGAGCACGAGCTCCTCCAGGCGGTGCAGGTCGCAAGCCACGTACTCCAGCGCCATGTCGGTGATGCGTGGGCACCATGAGAGGTCAAGGCTGCGCAGCTTGCGCAGGTTCTCGGCCACGAGCTCCACGCCGTCGTCGGTGACCTTGGAGCAGCCCGAGAGGCTGAGCGCGGTGAGGTTGGGCAGGCTGTGCACCACGTTGACCACGCCGTGGTTGGTGATCTCCCAGCAGGAGAGTAGGCGCAGCGTGTGCGTGCTGTGGCCCTGGCGCGCCGTGAAGTAGGCCAGCGCCGTGTCCGTCACATGGTAGGCCTGCAGGCTCAGCTCCGCCAGGTTGGGCAGCAGCTGCGAGATGGCCGCGATGGCGTCGTCGGCCACGTTGATGCAGTCACTCACGCTCAGCGAGGTGATGCGCGCGCTCAGGCTGGACCACAGCCCGGCCTCGGTGAAGTCGTTGCAGCCCGACAGCTCCAGACGCACCACGCCCTGCATCTGTTCAAGCATAACCTGCAGGCGGGCGGGCGCCGGTCAGCGGGGTGCCCGGCCTGGGCTCCCCGCCCCCAGCCCAGTGCGTTCCTGCCGGCAGCTAGTGCCAGAGGATTGCAGGAGACAGGGTGGAGCTCGCAGGGAGGAAGCAGTGGTCCTGGGTAGGGTGTAAACATGCAGGGAGCTGAACCCTGAAAACACTTGGCAGAGTGTGAGGAGGTGGGGCATCGGGACAAGAGCCCAGGGCCTGGCAGAGCAGGTGCCAGGGGCATTGGCACCAATGTTACAATTAAACTACAGGCCCAGCTGCCAGGCGGCTCCTCTGACCTCTGCCCCTGGGAGATCCTTTCCCAGCTTCCCCTCAGCTTCCCCCAGCATCCTCCCCACCCTGCGTTTATTTTATTTATTTATGCATTCATTTTGAGATAGTCGTACACTGTTGCCCAGGTTCCAGGCTGGAGTGCAGCGGCATGATCTCAGCTCACTGCACCCTCGGCCTCCCGGGTTCAAGCAATTCTCCTGCCTCAGTGTCCTCCCAAGTAGCTGGGACTACAGGTGCCCGCCACCAGGCCTGGCTAATTTTTGCATTTTAAATAGAAACAGAGTTTCACCATGTTGACTAGGCTGGTCTCGAACTCCTGACCTCCTGACCTCAAGTAAGCGGCCCGCCTTGGCCTCCCATAGTGCTGGGATGACAGGCGTGAGCCACCGGGCCTGGGCCCTGCATTTAATTGACTGCTCTGCTGCTGCCATCTTGAATATCTTGATTGTCTTTGAGCAAGGGACCCACATTTTCCCTTTGCATGAGGTCCCCCGGTAGTCAGTCCTGCTTTCCCCTACCCCAAAGCCACCATCCTCTCCAGCCCGTTGCTGCTGCCCGGCCCTGTCCCCCAGCCCTGTCCCCCTCACCCCAGCCTGGGCGCACACCCCCCCACCCCAAAGCCACCATCCTCTCCAGCCACCACAGGGTTGCTGCTGCCCAGCCCTGCCTCCCAGCCCTGTCCCCCTCACCCCAGCCTGGGCACACGCCCCCAACCCCAAAGCCACCATCCTCTCCGGCCCCCACAGGGTTGCTGTTGCCCGGCCCTGTCCCCAGCCCTGTCCCCCTGCAGCCTGGCGCACACCTCGAGGCCTGCGTCCGTGATGGTGGAGCGCTTGAGGCTCATGGCTTTGACACCCTTCTTGGAGAGCGCATAGTTGTCAATGAACTCACAGATGTCCAGGTCAGAGACGCCAACCAGGCAGAAGCCCTCGAAGCCTCTTGCAGCAAAGCCCTGCAGGTTCACGAACTCCTTCTCGCCACCAGGCAGCACATTGTAGAGCTCCTTGGCGTGCAGCACCGGCGTGAGGCCTGCCCAGAACTTGGGCTGGTAAAGCACGCGCCGCCAGGCCTTGCACACCTGGGCCAGCACACACTTCTCGCAGGCCGAGAAATACCAGAAGAGCCCATTGAGGATCTTCTCGTCCGTGGCCAGTGGCGGCCGCTCCGCTGGGGGCCCAGGTGCCAAGGCTGAGGCGGGTCCACCTGCCAG